GTTTATATCGGGAAATTTTACGATAAATATGTTTATACGCTCGTATTTATAAACATTGATAAATAGAATTTATGTGGTCTATGTCAACAATTTTATAATGATGTATATTTGTCGCCACAATGTAGCAAAACAACTACAGGAAAGATACCTAGGCTTAAATACTTTCGGCTTCTTTGCTCGAATATCAAATAAAACATTATTATGTGGTAGATTGTTGAGAATAAAGTTGAAATTTGTACTCTTTGCTGAAAGGATTTATAAAGAAAGTGAAACACAAAACTATGTGGGAAAAATGCAAAATGTTGCCCAAATATTTTCAACGCCCAAATACAGCAAAATAACTTCGCGTTGCCGACCAAATAAAGAAACTAAATATATATATATACAGTATTGTCCAGTTGAGCTTTTTTGCTCGAATTTCATAGCAAATATTTTCGATGCCCAAATACAGCAAAATAACCTCGCGTTGCCGACCAAATAAAGAAACTAAAAATATATATATACAGTATTGTCCAGTTGAGCTTTTTTGCTCGAATTTCATAGCAAATATTTTCGATGCCCAAATACAGCAAAATAACCCCGCGTTGTCGACCAAATAAAGGAACTAGGAATATATATATATATATATTGTCTAGTTGTTTAAATAAAACTATTATTATGCTACTTACTATATTTATTATCTCGCACAACAGAGCAACATGATAAAGGTATTATATATAAGTAATTGCCATAAAATCCGGTTATTTTCCTTCGACCTGCCAATGAGAATTTAGGGAACGCAACCAGTTGGCTATTCAAAACAGTGCCCATATATACTATCCCAGAATATTGAATTCACCATTACGAAGAAACTATCGCTAATGTGAAACCTGTTATGCCGCCTCGGAAGGTACTGCCTCGAATGCTGCTTATATTCCTGAAGCTCCCATAGTGAGGTAGTGAGATACCCAAGGTTAGACTTACCATAATTTCTTGGGCATAATCCGGGACAAACTCAAAACTATGAATGAAATAACTGGACGAAAGGCCGAAGGCCTGATCTTGGCAAATTTTTATTCCATATTTATATTTATAAGCTTTAATATTGCATAATAAAGTATTCTACTTAGATTGAATAAAAATTTTTATTACTTTATTTAAAGGAAAATGCACGTAAATTTAAGCAACACTAAGTCACAAATCAGACATTTGTTCTAATGCAGCAGTTGCTGTAGTTTCATTGAAGTCAATAGAATAATGACGAAATAAACGTCACTCATTATTCCCTAACTAAAAGATTTCTCAAGCTATGTGTGATATTTCACTCAACCTGATAAGCTAAAAAAATTAAGATATTAAAATAAGACTCGACTTAGAGCAAAGTTATGCTTTTTGGGACGGAATTATTTCATAATTTTGCGTCAGGTTAGAGTTAATTTTGAAAATTTCGCTAAAGTGAAATTCCGGGACATTTTGCTAACCGGGACGGGACACCGGGAAAGGCGTTTAAACCGGGACTGTCCCGGCCAAACCGGGACGTATGGTAGGTCCACCCAAGGTTATATCCAAAACTATGTCTTTGTATACTGTATTTTAGAGCGTTTGTACTACAAAGCGACATGTGTTCCATTTCTGCCAACCAAACCATCGACCTCTTTTCCAATACAAATGGAAAACCTATGTTATGCACGGTAAAGCGAGCACGATTCTTTCTACAAACTGAATTCATTATTAATTTGATGGATAAAATCAACCCTCCATCGTATCTGACAAAGAGGACTCAGACTATATATGACGTAATAAGTCCCGTCTGCAAGTTTGCAATTTTATCAAGGTGAAATTTACCATAACAGTGTACCAAGTTCCAGATAAGTTTCCGGTGAATTATTGGAATACAATACGATAGCGAAAATTTTTTTCTGTTAATCCTCTAAATCTGGCCAAAAGATAACCGGGTTAGAAAAGAGAAAATCATGATTTATTTTTGTAGGCACAATTTAGCAAAACTAGCAACACGGGTTATAGCTATGCCTAGAAACTGTCGGCAAAAAAACAGAGTTTTTTTGCTCCAATTTCTTATCCAACATTATGTGGTGATGGTTGAGGGCAATGTTGAAAATGACGAAAAGTTTCAGACCTTTATCTTGAGGGATTCTTGGAGAAAATAAAGCCCAAACTATTTGGGCTACAGCATTATGTCGCCCCAAAATTCCTGTCGCCCAAATACAGCAAAAATAAACCCGTGTTGTCGACCAAATCGATAAAATAGAAATATATATATATATATATATATATATGTTTTAGTTATTTTATCACCTATAGATTATAATAAGTGGTCGTTAGTATATAATATTACTGAATGCTTTGGAGTCGATTTGTACTATTTGGTTCCTATTAGATAGGTTCCATTAGTGAAAGCAATTTCGAATTTGATTTTGCTTCAAACGAATAAAATTAATACCTACTATCTATGCACATCGGAGAACACAATTTTTGGACTTTTCCCTTCTGTTCAATCTGTAGTTGCAAATGTATTGCTGCAATAACCCTGTGTGCAAAGGTGTGCAGGTGCAAATTGTCCTGGATGCAGTTTGTAGGTGCATATGTACGTTTGTGCAAAGATAATGGAACCTATGAGAAGTATGCCGTGAATATCACTGATTGTTCGAAAATTTTACAAGCCGCATGTCCATATTTCTACGCTGCGAACGCAGTAACGTACCCAAACTCTAACTATTTAAAAGATTGTGATAGCTTGTTTAGGCATCAAAACATGTATCGCGCATCAATGATTGTTTTTATAAGTAAAAGTCTTATGACTAATAATAATTGATAATAATTCAGTGGTTCTTATTCTTCCCGAGCCTGCCGAACCCCTGCATCATTCTGCATGCTCCAGCTAAAGCCTGTCGTACTCAACGGTTGAAATTATGAGCCCAATCCTAACTTTATAAAGAGGAAGCTAATTTCGTGCAGGGTTATAGAAAATGAACATTATGGTTTAACCTTAGATACCAATATCCCATACGAAAGTAGCCATTTTTTATCACAATAGTGTCGGCGACAGGGAAAGCAGATGTTTTTCGTTGTACAAGTTCTGCGGGTGAAAGGCGAAAAACGGATAAAAAAAATAGCAACTCGGCGCCATATCGAGCTGGTCCGAGCGGATGATGATATTTACAAGCAAAGCTCTGCAATTAAGTATTCAAGTGAAATTCAAACACGCGCTGGTTTTGCATTCATTTATGTACATTCACTGCCAATCTTCGATTTACCCTCAAAACTGAGTTTATAAATTTCATTAATATATGACGGTGGAAATATGAATAAGGTATGGTATACTTATATGAAACATTAAAAAAAGAATCTGACATATTCTCAGACATAAATGACAAACTGACGTCGTATACTAGTTAGTCTCAAACAGTGAATATGAGAAATATATATTATAGGAAGGTGAAAGTTCAGATCAGTTTTGTACGAAATTGAAAAAGATGTCCTCAAACTGTGAAGTTGGAGAAAACCGTGATTCTGAGAATAAAAGTTAAATTATACAAGATTGTCTATATTCAGAACTGTTCAAGTATGGTCATTTTGTTAAATTCTGTAGTAAAGCTAATAGTAAATGAAAATACACTCTTAAAATAGTTTTGTTTGATCCCATTGTCCTAGATTACAATTTTCGGACTTCTCGACCGGTTTTTAGTACTAAAATACTGGAATATGTTTAATAGTTTCAAATTTTTCCTCTAAATTATAAATATTGCTCAATGTTAATCTATGTTTCGATTGCAAATGTTTACATTTTCATCGTATTCTACAGATATATTTACCGTCAAATCGTTGCCGCCATCGACTACAATAAATATATAAGATGCTCGATATGCCATGAAAGTTCGTGCAAGAGACTTTAAAAATATCTGCAGACAGTACACGGATTAAAAACAGAAGAGCTGAAAGATGTAAAATGTAATATGATACATGAGTCCATATATTACAAGGTGAGATTGCATGTTTTTTTTTTCAAACTCAAATTCACAGGAACGCTACACACATCACTATCACACAACAAACACAATTTTTAATGGTATTTTCTGCTCAGATTCTGCAGAAGTACGAAGACGATCTGCAGAAAGGTCTTTTTAACCTTAAAGCCAAAATGACGAAAGAAGTCGAATATGCAGTTAATGAACTGAAAGTGTACTTCGAGGGTTTACTGCCGGTAAATTTACACCAGATACTTGAGATTGGAAAGACAAAATTGGCTTCCATGAGGTACCGCCATTTGGTAGCCTTTAACATTTTTGAAAATACGCAAAGTTTATTGGCCATTCAGTATCTGGTGTAAACTGGCAGCAGATTCTAGAAGGGATCGATTTGGTCTCGACGTTTGCCAATAGGCGGAGGAAACAAAAAAAATCTTCGAAGAATGCCACCGAGAGAAGGATGTTGAACAAAGTGTCGGATGGATTCATAAGTAAGTACTATATATATATATTGCAATTATTAAACTAGGAAATTTAACTTCTACAATGTAATAGCATGATCTGTCAACGTTTGTGGAATACCCGATTTTGCGAATTATCCTACTTCGTTCCCAAAATACTTGGAAAGGTCAAAATATCGAACTCTGTAATTCTATTAACTTACATTTTAGTATATAACACGGCAATGTTAAACATTTAAAATCGGCAAAAATTATATATATATATTGATAAAAATTGAAAAATTATGTTACGATTCAACATATATATTCAAATGTTTTAAGTTATTTTGTTTTAATAACTTGATTTAAGTTATTTTATTTTTTATTGCTTATTTTACTTTAATTTCAGATATTTTTCTGAACATACGACCGTGATATAAAAGACATTTACGACGATCGTGTCGCAGGGGAGACTTTTAATAGGTGCTTGGGGGGTTGTTTGCGGCTCGCTACCTTATCACGCGAGGCGGTAGTCTTCGTTACTCCACCTCCATGAGGGTTGGCGGGCTAAACGACCCCTCGCACCTAAAAGACAATGACACCTATCAGATCAAAATTGAAGGTGAAATCGGTTTTATTCTGCTGTTGCGGAAAGATTATTGAATTCTTTACAAAGTAGGCATAATACATAATTGCATTCATTTCTTGGACTATAATTTTGGATATATACACCGTATAATAACCGTATATATTTAATCATAGACGTGCGAATCATACCCTAATATTTAAACTTCAAAATATGATTTATTGTGGCCAAATTAGTCAAATGGCCAATTAGCCCGCGATAATGAAATTTCGACCATTGATGGACATAAAAATTGATTAGCATCCCATTTTTGATAATTAAACTTTCACAAAGCGTTAGAATTATCGATTAAATGAATCCGAATTTTGTCGAAATATATTGTCACCAAACCAACCGGAAAATGAACGATGCGTCAGATTGTGTCAACACTATTAATTGATTTTTTTCTAATAAACTTATTAACTACTGAAAAACTTTTGAAAATATTACCGGATTAAGGATGGTGTTGTAAATACACTTCCCATAATATTTTGTTTAATCCCATTGGCCTAGAAATGCTCAGGAAGTGTTACAAATTTTTATAGCTATTTTGTATTTTTTCCAGACGCACTGTCCGAATCTTTTTTCATTTGCTGTGTTTACTACTAGTCACTATTAGCTTCTAACGTTGGCATGCCTTGTCTGGTCGTTGTATTCACAGATATCTCAAGCCTGTCTGTAGGCTACTATCACTTTTTTTTTAAACAGCAACATGCTATGATGGCTAACATATTTTAAGGGCCCATTTCATAAGGAGATCCCACTTGCATAACACTCTTATTCGGATTTGTTGTGTTTATTATTTGTTAGCAAACTTGTCGAAGCATTGCATATATGGAATGAATTTGGAATTTTTGTGGTGATTTTGCAAAGTTACATTTTATTCCCAATGTTCAAAATTTGCTACCTTTCATTCATGCATTTTTTTTTACTGTTTTGTACATTTGATAAATTGTTGGTGATTTTTGATGTCTTTGAAAGCAAGATGTTTAATTATTCTACAGCTATTAATTTATTTTGATACACACAACCTAGAATCATAGACCCAGAATTTGCTGCATCCATATACTTGAAATCAGCTCCATTTATATGTATGTGTGGGGTAAATTTTGGAGATCTCTAAATTATCATAATTGGACGGAAGAAGTCGTTAGAAGTCTATTATATTAAATTTTTCTAACTAAATTTTGTTATTATTTCGTGTAAGTTGTCCACAGATCCCTTCAGCAATGTGTTTTCTTAAAGCTTTACCCGATTCTGAATCGTGTTTTTTGTATGCTTGTATTATTATTTTTTTGGTAGGCGGGGGCGTACTTTTACGTTTTTATACTTTATTTTAAGTTATGCTCGTCTTCCAAGTATCTCTGCATTTTGCTTGTCCGTCTACATTTTGTTTTTATGTCAGAGTACCGAAATAAATGATTTATTGAAATTTTTTTTTATTACTTATTGATATTTATTTCCATTTTTTACCTTTCAGATGGCAGCAATGTTTCATCCTGTGAAGGATAGGACAAAAAGCGACCGAGCCCTTGACCCATTGAAGCAATCAATATTGGTCGACAAAATTGACCGATCAACCCTAAATCAGTAAATTCGGATAAAATGCCATCGTACTGGCCTCGTCATTGGCATCGGACATGTCCGAAAAGAAACAAAGGGATGTGACGCGGGCCATGGGCCACTCCTCATATATATATATCAAGCAATAAATACAAGAAACTTCTAACAGCCACATCATGTGTCCCACTTACTCGTATCTCCGAAACAATCCAAGAATCCACCTTTGATATCCCTTACACATTCCTAGCTCATCTAAAAAAATGAAAAACATCACAATCCCCAAAACACCCCCAAAAAGCAAAATCTCTACAGATTTTGAATCCCCGAGGAGCAAAGCGGTAAGAGCAACAGTGCTTCGAAAAAAAAATATTTCAGAGATAAATAGGTTGTGGTTGTATTACCACGAGGGCGTAAAGGGTTTCCTTGAGGGCAAAGACGCTATGAATAGAACTCAATTACGCGAGATTGTCAAAAACGAAATAAAAATTTGAGCTAAACATGATATAAATGGCCTAAAAAAGAAAATGAATTTTAATGATAAAGATTAGAAACTTTTTTAATGACAAAGATTAAATTTTACTTTTTCGAGGCACTGTGGCTCTTTACACTTTTTGTAATTTTCCTTACACATCGTCATATTCAATGTAAATACATTTTTGAACTTGTTATCTTAATACTTTGAATACATGTTTGTAAATTTCCTTGCCGTCGCCATTTTTCTTTGTGCATTTGTATGTCGGTCATAGGGAACAAGAAAGCTATGCTCAAATATATGGACATGAAAAATCCATCTTTAACCACTGAAAATTTCAAAGCAATTAGTCATGCGGGGGAATAGGGGGGTGCGCATTTCCAATACGTCGATATTATCTTTGCCGACCAATTTGCGACCACCGTGTTTTTGTCTGTTTGATTGCTGTGATGCGGTGCTTTGTTTATAATTCAACGAGTTTTGTTCGAAATACAGAAATAACCGTGTTCTTAAAATGTATGACGGTCAGAAATGCAATTCTCGACGCAGCAGAAGCGATGTTCAAGGCTTGAAATCGTGGTCGCACACTGGTCGGTCGCAAATACGTCTTCTGAGTGTCGTACTTTGGTGGTTTGTATAGCTTCAACCCCTGGCCGTAGAAAGGTAATTCGAGGTTTAGCGTGTAGAATAAATGCCAATGCACCTACGGTGAAAGAATTAACGGGTTAGAAAAAATATTGGTTTTTGTTTCATAGCGGTTTGAATGAAATTGTCCAGGCATTCTGACATTTGATTGATTTGCACATACTGATATAACACAGTATCAGCATTTGCAAAGTTATAACTGTATGATTTAAATATTTATCCAGTTCAAAATTTTGTCAGGCAAGGATACCGGTATGCCAATTTTAGTTTTGGTCCGAAGTAAGCAAATGTGGTGAATGAAATTAATTTCACTACCGCTACCAGGCATTCCGACATTTCATATATTCCAGTGTTCGGATACCGGTACAAACCTTTGTGAAGTTTGTAATGCTTCTTTCTTTGCAAATTCTGGATTTGTGGCGTTTCCAAAAAAAAACCTAACAAAACAGCAAAAATGAGAACAAGTATCACAATTGTACAGACATTCTCATTACAGCTAAAGAAAAATAGACAATAATCGAATCAACCCGCAGACACACTACAAGTAAATAAATTCGGTAATCTATGGTAAAATTGCCAAACTTACGACAAAATAGTCTATTCTTATTTACAGTGATAACTCTATTGCAGTATTACCGGTACGGTACCGTGTATTAGGTAGGGTGTGTTTTTAAGTCTGACATTCTATGGTACCGGTACGGGGGTCTCGTACCTAACGTACTTCTAGTAGGCGTAGCATAAAATTTTCTTGACATGCCAATCCTAACCCTCACCTGACTACGCCATCCAAAAATTACGTCACTACGACGTCACAATCACGTCATAGAGCCAGCCAAATACTTGTACGATCGCCCGAAATGGAATCGGCGCCGGGGATAAAGAACTGACTAACGCCAGCGATCTCTCTCCTATCGGGATCGTTGCGACGAGAAAACGAGAGAAATGGCTGTTCGATTTCGGGTTCTCGTCTGCGCGTCTTAGATGACAGTTCGCATAATTTGAAGAGCTCTATTACGTCACTGTGACGTCGTAGTGACGTAATTTTGGGATGATGTGGTCGAAAGGGGGTTAGGATTGACACGTGAAAAAATTGGCATGCTACGCCTACTAGAAGTACATTAGGTACGAAACTACAGGAGACCCCCGCAACCGCAACCGCAACCATGAAAAAACTTTCAATACTGTCCCCATGAAAATTTTTCAATTCCAACTTTCGCTAAGGCGGTATGGTAACGTCCCCGCAGAAAAGAAAACCAACATTATTGCAATACTGTACGGTACAGTACCGGTACCGTAGTAAGACAGCGTAAGGAAAAATCGTAGCAAAGTACCGTAAGGACTTCGTTACGAACCATCGACGTTCGATGGCACGTGATCAAAAAGAAGAGGAGTGTCGGCTATGCGTCTCAGAACGTTCGGGACGTCATAGCAAACAAAAACAAATCTCACAGAGCTAACAGAAATATTTGAAATAAATAAAAGTAATATCCTTCTGGAGAAAAATTCCATCTTCAACCAGTAAAAATTTCGAAGCAATCGGTCCAGTAATGAAAGAGAAAAGCGTTTTTTTTAGATTTTCCACTAGATGTCCAAAAAGTGTCAAAGAACAACAACAAGACCAACATGATATTGAAACGATCGTTATGTCCATTTCGTGTCCAATAATGATAAGATTGGTATAAGACTTCGGACCCGTATGTGTCAGTTGTCACAAGGATGCTTGAACGAGATAGTATTATAAAGATAAACAAAAGAGCTACGCCCAAATATAGGGACACGTCTGTTCGCAGTACAGTGTACCGTACCGTCAGATCACCGTTTACAAATATATTCACACCAAGCGAAGCAGTACAGTAGGACACAAAATGGCGTCCGATGTCCGCAGAACGTTTAATGACGTCATAGCAAACAAAAACAAATCTCACAGAGCAGAAATATTTAAAATGAATAAAAGTAATAGCCTTCTGGGGAAAAATTTTATCTTCAACCACTGAAAATTTCAAAGCAATTGGTCCAGTATTCGAAGAGAAAAACGATTTTATAATGATGGTGACGAAGAAAAAGAAATATAACAACAACATAATATTTGAAACGATCGTTATGTCCACTAAAGTGTCCAATAAGAATAACATAATCTCTTTCTACGAAATAGCGAGTATGTTTATGAGCTTTCGTTAGATCAGTGGTTCTCAAACTTTATGTGCCTGCGGATCCCCTATGCTTCTCCGAAGTAAACGCGGAACCCCAAATTGTTTAAAATGAAAATACAATAGGAGAACATAGCATAAAGTTATTTGGACAACGTTTAAATTGGCTGCTCCCACGTACGTATGACAAATAGCTTACTGATTGCGTTTTTGTGCGATATATTCATGAATATGATATCAAAACTGAAATGCCTCACAGAACCGCAGCACGGTACAAATTTTTTTTAATTTTGAGATGTCATGAGGCAGAAATTTGAAGTGAAAAACGAATTTCATAGAGCACACAGAATTTGTTAAAATACGTATAGTAAATGCTTTCTAACGACAACAATAATTTTAAACCACTGAAAGTTTCGAAGCATTTGATCCTGTAGTTAAACAGAAAAGCGATTTTTTTCACAACTAGAAGAAAATGCAAAATGACAACGTTAGGCTATAACGCAAAAACTAAAAACTCTTGTAGCCCACCTGATACTATTCGCGGACCCCTAAGGGGATTTTTTGAATAGAATCAAGTACTGCATTGTATTTCCCATCTGTTAATGAGAAGATATAAGATTTTTTAGCAATTATTCATCAATAATTATTTGGTATCTGATTCTGGTTAAAAGTTTATTCATCTCACAATTTCTACGTTGGCTTCTTGGCTTGTTTCATTCCACAATTTAACCCCCGGAAAGTTTTATTTGATTATAAATATAATAAAATGTATAGCGAGCGATGCAAATAATGCGAGTGTATAATTCATTTTGCATTGCATTGAAAGCTTTTATTTTGAACGGAAGTAAAACAAGTGAGAAGAATGAAGCAGGTATTTTTTAAAAGCTCGTGTTTTTTTAAAACATTAAAAAAAAATGTGGTTGAATGTTATTTTACGACTGTTTGCTTATGTATTCTTCATTGTCTACAAACTGGACAAGTTTGATATCGGTTGTCTACAAACTGGACAAGTTTTTCCTTTTTTTTCAGTTTCTTTGCACATCCAGAGCAACAATACTGATGACCCACGTCCCTGGAAAAAAGACAGTATTTATTATTTCAGTATTCATATACTGAAATAATGCAATGTAAATACCTTGATAAAAAAAAATTCAGCGATGCTAGGCCGTCATGGGAAGCGTAAGGAGCATGTGTCTCATCGCAGCTGATTTTCCTAAACTGTAATGGAATTCATTGCCAAAGGACTGAGATGAATGAGAGGTACGGTTTATGAAGAGTGATTCATCATACGTCTTCAAATAAGTTTTAAACTTATCCGGATATATACAATAGAAGTACTGAGCATTAGTATATATAAACGATCCTCAAACTGTCATTTTAAAAATCACTTATGCTCACGGATAATAATGAAATACCTTGACTACATCTTTCAAATAGAAAACAATTTCCTTACCCATGAACATTAGTTGCATCGTTCGGGATATTATGGCAAATATTACACAATGCTGCTATGCTGGAATAGATATAGAATACTGAAGTTGTGACTTCGATGTCGATAAAGACTGGTTTCACGCGGCGTAGATAAGTTGTATGAAGTTTGATTGACACGGGGTTGGCTTTCTTATATTCTGTGTTTAACTGTTTATATTTGAGTCCTTGGACGTTGAAGCTCCATTGTTAGCAGATAAGGGCAATAATAGGTTTGATAAATTTGATGCCGTCGATTTTGTTAACTTTGATATCGGTGGAGAATTGAATTCGTCTGAAGAATCCAGTTTTCTTTTGTTGTGATTATTTTTGCGAACTTCGTTGAAATTGCTGGAAGATTTTGATGAATTTTCCCTGTTAGGCTGTGAGCATGATCCAGAATGAAAAAAAAAAAATTTATTTGTAGAGAAGCCATTCGCTACATTTACGGTAATTAGCCTACGTCGAAGATGCATGGTTCAGCCAAAAGAGCGATGATAGAGAATAGGTGGACAGCAGACAGAGAAGACGTGTTTAACACTGGCATTTAATGGACCAGTATATATAATATATATCTAACCACGCAGCTTGAGGAAAGAGCAGAATATCATTGGTGTAAAAATTAGGCTTTTTCAAATCCTCAGTGGTCAAAAATCCTAATTTCCAAGCTAGCAATTTGATTATATATATATATATAGGAGTTTTAGTATATCTCATTGGTCAAATTTAAAAAAAAATGTATGAATGTGAAATGTGAATACTAAACCATGTGAAACTATATGCTACATTTAAAAGCTGTGTTCAGGAGTGATTTTACATTTGTCACATGCAAAGTAATTCAATTGTCTGTAATTTTATTATACATAGGCTTACCATACGTCCCGCTTTAGGCGGGACAGTCCCGCTTTTTAGCGTCTTGTCCCGCCGTCCCGACATGTCAGCCAAAAGTCCCGCTTTGGCGTTCAGTCATCCAGCATAATACACGAACATGTTCTCGTTACTGTTGTTGCTGTGTAGCGCAACGCTAGCCTACTTACTAAAGGTGGGTGCGTTATTTTGTTCGTTTCATTGTTTCCCGCTAACTCTGTTAGCGAACGTATCACATGTAAAATCAATTTTAATTGGTTCTGACGTTCATTTGAATGTAATATTAAACAACGTCTTTTTGAAGGTGTTATCTACAGAAAAGCATGCTTAGGCGAATAAGTAAACCTCAATGCTTGAAAACAGCAGACTATTTCTTTATGCCTTTTGCTGTACATAAAAAATCTGAATTCGGATCATTCGTATCGTTAGCGTCTATTCCTTTCTATTTTTCGAGCTGAACCTGATATTTAGACAGAGAATATGCGCATGAACTCTCGATGACAATATGGTCAATGAAGACAGCCGGGATGGCTTCAAATGTGGGCCTATGTAGTAAAATCGAAAACTGTAAAGTTACAGGATCACAGTTAAAGGGTCGTGTCTTTAAAGGCGTCCCGCTTTGAAGTCAATAAAATATGGTAACCCTAATTATATACCTATGTTCTTTTATATTTTTCACTAAGAAAAATAATATACCTGGATTTGAGTTCCCAGATCCAACATCATATCCTGCGGCAATTGGATCAGTTTGAGCATATATGAAGGTGAATATGCTGAATCTTAAACATTTCAGAAAACGAGGGTAAAAAAACACTGTTGAAATAACTATATCTTTAGTTCAAACCGTGAATGGTTAGGTACAGAAATATTGTAACATGTTAAGTACACATCTGAATAGACTTGTATTTCGAATTCTACATTGTAATAAATTTTTTTAAATTTATTTTGTCACATGATCATTACAGAACATCAATCTTTTTGAAAATCTGAATTAAGATACAACTTTTAAGAACCAAATTTTTAGAATTTGAATCACAATCAAATAACAAACTACAAAACACATCTGGGAATTTCCACTTACCGGTACTTTCATAAAACTCTCCGGCTGGGAGTAAGGAACAGTCGGTGGGGATACAACTGTAAAAATAAACGAATTTGCTTAACTTACATTAAATTGCATAAGTTTATCATCATGAAATTAGATGGTTGCTTCAGAGACTCACAGACTTACACAATACAGCTAAGTGATCACTAATAGTTTCGCTTTACTTTTACTATTCTCGAACATACTCAAAATATATCTGAATATGGTTTATTAAGGTAGATTCTGAAATTTATCACCACAAAAATTATATCAAATAAGTATTATAATAACCACGTCCAGAATATACCTACAGAATAATTTTAAAAGAGGGAACTTGCATGGGTAGTCCTAGTGTATTCCAACTAACGGGGAAGGGTGAATAAGATTTCAATTACTAATTTACTCAACTGTGTGGATATATCACACATCATAGCTTCATACCTAGCAATGACTGCTATAATAGTAAATAGGTGACGGTCAGCTAAACAGCACATTAGACTAATTTAAAAAAATCATATATGGGAAAAGCTCTCATACCTTGGTAAATCTATTTCAGGTAGGCATCCTTTCCTTATTTTCCAGCACTTCTGGCACCTACTGTGAGTGCGAGTGTGAGTATTGACAAAATAAATTTATCACGTTGACGAGTGTATCAATTCCGTGACATTTGTTTTCTCCTATATGGGGGTCTGATCAAAAAATAAGTTTAAATTCTTATTCTACGGCCATGAATTACCAAATACCCAAAACAGCGATTTTTTCTCCCAGCTGATCACAATTCCGGCATTATCAAGTGGTTAGTAGTATACCCATTTAACCTGTAAATAAGTAAGCGCAAAACTTCCAGTCGGGCTCTAAGCTGATGCTTTCGAAAAATTTAAAAAAGTTAAAAAAAAAATTCTCGTGCGAAGTATTTATTAATATTTTGGCAATTTTTTTTGTTTTTGTTTTCCTTCGAACTTTTCACTCGTAATCCCATTATGGAATCTAGGGTCTTTATCCGTTTGAGCATTATCAGCATTCAGCATGCATCAGATGGTATCCATCTGGGTTGTAAAGTTGGTGTTTCAATTTGACAGTATGCCCTAAGACTAAGTGTTTGGACCAATTATTAGAATCCAAAACGATATTGATTTGGCAGATTTATTTTTGATCATATTCCTTCAAGACACAGTTGCTCAAAGGCGCGGAAACTAAACATTCAATGAAAATTTGTTTGATAGCGTTTCTTTCTTGATGTCGTTAAGAAGATATTCTTATTTAAAATGATAATAATGTACGCAAAACTTATGGCTGGTTTACTATGCAAAATGCAAAAATTTTTTACGATAATAAAGAGTCTTGCTACACACTAACACAAATATATATATTTCTGTAACGTTTTGTCTAGCCAAGGTCAGACTTCTTCAGACATACATGGTTTAAATATGTAAAAGCATAGAAGAAGGATAAGTAGTTAGTTTCGCAGAAACCAATTATTTTTTACGTTGGCATTATATATTTCCGCAAAGTGAAGTAAACTTTGACAATGTCTACCGTTTTTATTTTACTTCACGAGATGGCCGCAAATATTTACGATTCAAATAGGCAAAAAATGCGTTGACGAATATAATTAAGGAAAATTATGAAAATCAGTGTCGTTTTAAACACTTTTCAGAATATCTAAAATATTCTTTATAGACGAATATCATTAACATGAACACCCCAGCGTAACCCGCAACGCGGTTGTTTATAACCAGTCTCAGATATTTGAAGGAAAGTACAGAAACTGGTACTGCCGTAGTGTATGTACCAGGTTAGAGTTAGGCCATAATTTTATTCCAATTTTCCTTATTTTAGTTTTATTACGAGTTCGAGGACTGTCTGTGTCAGCCAAGTAAATACACCCCCTACCCATAGGCTTCAGTCCTTTTACACAACTTGATGTAAAGTAGGCGAACAAAATTAGTTACATCCATCAAATAGTATCAGCAATCGTTTTTACAGACGATCCAACAAAGTAATTAAGGTTCCTAGTTTTTCCTTTCACAGTAGTGTTCGTGAATTTATGGGTGCATTTGACTGATCATCTGCACTGGTATGTACTTTTTGAAAATATAATCATTTTCGATTACGTGCGTCTTGTTACAGATTACAGATGATGAGGCTTCGTGGATATATCAGGCAGGTCTCAAGTTTTTGACTGCGCTGCCCAAACTACACGACTTTTGTCTAACAATGTGTCCTTGGTAATATTTTCACCATTTGTTACAAGAAATCATATATACGTAAGGCTGTTTGTTGATTTTTACTTTTAACGTATGTGATTAAATAAAGTGAATTTTGTGTAAAGTTTGCCATTTCAAGTTAATCAAATTATAGTATTTGCTCAGTAGTTAATCCAACAACTTAAAAAAGTTCTTTTTTTGAAAACCCGTTTGCTGGATTGTTTTAAAATGCGATTTGTGCTGATCTAAGATAAAATGGTACATATGCTTTTTTTGTAAATATATTTAGTGATATTGTCGAATTTTGGGTGTTATTATTTAGACTGCTAAATGATACATTAAAACGAAATACTCACTTAAATCTAAAACCTAAATAGTATTTGCACTACTGGTATATATATACTGGCTCAGTGATGGGGTGTGGGTTTTGATATAGTGTTAAGATATATAATTTAAGAGTCAAACTCACCATATTTGATGATAAATTTAAAAACTATGCTTGAAGGTTTAGGGTTTCCGTATGCCATAATCAGCAAATCAGCATTATAAAAATTTATTTTGAGCACCTCGTCAAACCTTACCAGTGAATAAATTAGAAAACAGATAGCGGGATGACTTTGGAATAGTTAATGACTAATTAAGGATTAATTGGCTAGACAAGCGCAGTATTGGATAGTTTCATATTGGGTTTTTATAGGAAATGAAAAACGTGGGCGATCAGGAAATTTGATAAGTGATATAATACAAACTTTTTATTACTTATATTTTAATATTACTTTTATTATATTATTTACTTCATATTACAGTCCTATACGTACTTATAATGGGACTCCTGATCACTGATACTCTATGTAATATTTCTTTTTCACGAATTGTGGACCCACATACCAAAACGTAGAAAAACCGTTTCTTAAACTTTGAACATGTGAACGATATTTGATCAAGCTCGTATGCCACGGGGCAAAAAGCGCCTACATAGACCACTTCTAAAGTATAATGCGGCATGAGAACATGAGGTTACATTCCAGACAGAATATTGCTGTATTGATTATTAACTTTGTGACCACATTGCCCTTGCGGTGGAATATGAATCCTAGAAGTTTGAAAAACGATTGCATCAAGCTTGTTAAAATTTAGTACAGGGATGACTTCTCACGGGCAGTCGACTTCGCTTGACAGGCGAAAGCGAGAAATGAATTATTTATGAAAATATCGGTGCAGAAAGGCTAAGACCTAATCGCGCTCGTTGACAGTTGGGCAAGAATTTCGCCCTAGATTAGTATATAAAGTGGATGTGATTTCCATAAAATCGTTCATTTATATCAGTGACGTATATGAAAATTTATTCCGATGGACGCGTTCTGCGATAAAGAAATAAGATGTTAGTGTTTTGACTTGACAGGAATAATCAGATTACAGCACGAAGGCTCTAATTGTGGCTAATTTTTTTTTACCTCTGTCAGTATCTTGGTCGTGAACATTATTCATACTGTATGTTATTCTTATATATTTATTTTAGGCGAGTATGAATCTTCAGTATAAATGAATATTTCCAGTATTATTCTTTTTCAGATATGCGAGATAAGCACACCTTTAATGCGCAAGGTCGCAATATGATGTGAGATATAGAATAACCAGGTTTTGTAATAAAATACGAAATTTCTCCCAGAGCTTTATATGTTGACAAAAATGGCTGTATTTCTGAAGATCACCAATGATGGATTTACCAAACTAAATATGACTTGTACGGTTATTATTTTAATATACTGTTCCAATTTCTGGACGAGTATTGTAGCTTCTTCGGATTCAATATACGACTCATCCAACGACCGTACAACGAGGTCGAACAAAGATATTCCTGATCCCAATATTGCACTTGAAGGACAATGTGTTGTGGTATGCGATGCAAAGGTGGTGGGATTGAAACAAGCGTCGGACGACCCAAAACCTTTGAAGACAAACCGTGTTGAATTGGATTCTACCGGCGATGACAACATTTCCGACCCTCCGACTAACTTTTGGGATAAAATATCTGGACCTGTATGCGATGGGCTGGTTAATGTCGGCCGACGCAGTAGAAAAGTTGCATTTTCAGCAAAACGAAGTATTGACCTTACTGCGCCAGATACAGCTATGAATGGGAAAACAACCGTTACTTTTGATCACGTGTTGGTGAATATTGGAAACGGGTTCAATATGGAGAGCAGCACGTTTGTGGCACCTGTTAGTGGAGTTTATTCATTGTATTTTCAAGTCTACAGACTGTACAACAAAAATCCGCTAACCATCGACCTTCATGTAAGTTCATAAATAATTTATCTCAGCCGAGTAGCTTGCATCTCAGCTGAATTCGAGTACTGCTCAATTGTTTATTGTTTGTTCGTATAAGTTTTCAGACCGATTCATTTCTTTTAACTCGACTAATTTTCTCGGTCGCGGACAACTGATTCGCATCATTCCCTATTACCATAAAATATTACGCAACAGTTAATGTACGTTGAGATATGAAAAAATAGCTTGAGTTCGTTGGAAATTCATTATTGTCGAGCTTGTGATGTTCACCATCATCACGATGTATGTCTCGTTACATACTGTATGAAGTAATTTAAACCAGGTCATTCTAAAGAAAAATTGTTTACAAAGGTTACTGTATAAATGTGGGAAGATTTATTGTTAGGCTGAACATATGCTTCTGGGATGAGACCATAATGGGAAATGAAATAGATGATTCAAAAAGCGTTTTCAATTAGTTACGGACGCGGATCTACTACTCTACGGGGGTTATAGAAGCATGCAACATTAAGAGATAATCACATAATACCAGTGATGCACTCAGCCCACAAACCCATTAGGAATTCAATAAAAGGGTATATACTATGTGGTTTGGAGCAACGAAATTGTATTTGCGTTTCACGTCTGTATTGACGAATTGGGCTTCAGCCATCTGGCGTATTAGCCAACAAAACCAATTTTAATTATTGTTTGTTGACAGATCATTAGTTTTTTTGATGGAGGGTTATTTATATATATATATATATATTTATATTCATATAACTTACAAAATTGTACGATAGTGCAGCATAACTATATATATATTTTAACCACACTATTGTCATGGCATCACAATATTCGGTGAGAATATTGAAGGTGTTTAAAAGTAAATCAATAACCTAAGAGGCTGGTGAATTATTTTTTGGAAAAAACAATTATAGGCCTCACGTGAATTATATATATGTTCTCTTTGTTCTCATTAGGAAGAGATAATTTGTATATACTTACATTTATGGTTCGGGCTCGCACCTTTCTTACTTTCTGCGCCTTATGTCCATCCAATTTGATATAACCTCACGAATTTAATAACCACCCACAGAAAACTAATAAATGTTTCCGTGACAACAAGATTAGGAAATGAAAGATAATAAAGGGTTTCATGCCTATTCAAAGTTGCATTTCAAATTCCCCTGAGATTTAAACGATTTTTAGAGAGTTTGTTCTGTTCCGTTGGGAAAAATACTTTCTTTGTAACATAAAACATTATTTTACAGTTTATGGGTGCAATCTTTCCTTTAGACTCGGTTTCGTGGCTCTATCAGTTGAAAAATATTCTAATTGGTAATAACAGAAATGGGAATATAAAACTGAGAAACCTAGTTAATTCAAAATTGGCTTATTATAATAAATTGTTCAATTATATTGTAATAATCTAACCAAAGACAAAAAAATGTAAAAGCTTATATGGAAACCGTGACGTGACGGTAATGTGCTGCTTATTCCAATTTTATGTTAAAATGTGCAAAAAGGCGGATGCACATTGAGTAGATTAGTTTAATACATCTAGCACGATGACACGGAATGAATATCATAAGTAATATCTGGTGTAAAAGTTGACAGACCATAAGCCGAGGGTGCTATAATGTGTTCTTATAATGTTTAAAACAAATTTCTCCAGTATATCACTGAATATAAATTTTCCTGCTCAATTGAAATATGTACAGATCATATTCACAAGTTATTCGAAATATATACCGCTAATGTGATTGTTGCTGCCAACTCGTGATTTTTTAGAAAAACATGACTTTGTTTGATTTTTAGACGAAAAAATTTATATCTTGTTGTTCACTGGTAATATTTTGACGAAATGAAATGTTATCAAAAATAGAATAAATCAATCATACAGGTGGGTGGAGGTACCTTGAATAAAATGGAACTATCAGTTTATACAAAATCTAAAAAGAATTCCGCGGCTTGTGTAGTTTCTTTTTACATTTTCCTTCACCTATAACCCCAAAAAAGTTTCTTAGACTTTTGCTGCCATAGAATCCCAAAATTGTATCGTTTTTTTTTTCAAATCAAACATCTTATAATAATTATAACCAGTCATGCCGCTTTTGACATAAAAAACTTAGTCTTGTTCAACTCAAGACCTCATTCAATGGACCACTTATAATTAATATTCACGAGTTCGTTGACGAGTTCTGGAAAATTTTGTGCGCTCGTAAGCATTTTTATTAAACCGAAGCTCGGGCCACTTCATTTGCATCTTGTTTTTTTTTTCATTCTAATTCGCTCCTGTTTGCCCAAATAGGATTTTTTTTAAATCACAGTTTAAACGCTTGAAATAAGCCTAAGATCAAGTTTTCTAAGAAAAACGAGATTATGCTTCCCAGAGACTATCCTTCATATTCGGTTAACGAACAAGATTAGCATGAGTTGTTCGACGTTTTTGTTCGGGGCTCCCGAAGTATGCGAACCAAGATGGCGGACATCGGAATGTAATATGTGTACTAGGTTAGGGTTAGGCCATAATTTTAGGTATAAATACTACGGGAGGCTCTTGGCTAGTCTTCGAACTGATAATAGGACTAAAATACGGAAAATTGGAAAAAAATTATCGCCTAACCCTAACCTGATACCCATGTTACGTTCCGATGTCCGCCATCTTGGTTCGCATACTTCGGGAGCACTTTTTGTTCAATCGGTCTGCTGATTTATCTATCACCCACACATAGGAGCTTGGTGATTTGATGATTCGATTTGAGAAATGTACCTAAAATGGGGTATTTATCAGGAAAAAGATTTAAAATTGAATGATCAACATGGCCTGATTGGAGTAGAAACTGAAAGATTGGTCACAAATTGTTCATTTGCGATTAAGTATACTCTAATAAAAATAATAAAAACAAGCCAACAAGTAAATTAGTACTCAATTCTTTTGCGTTGCTTCCTTGACGACTTATTACTTCATTTATTTTGTTATTTCAGTTCCTAATGAAATCATCATTTGAAGAGTACACTCTTTTTCTATCAATTATTAGCTATATTTTGATCTTCGTACTTGTCCTCATTAACGGTATTAGACATTGTCCGCTGGTAAGATCGTACAATAATAAGGTTTATAATAATATTATTAAAAAATTATTGACATATGCATTGCATGCATCTATCATTACAGACCAACTTTACTTAGAGTTTCCTTGTTTTTCAAAGATCAACGGAATTCCGGTTTTACGTGGATTTGCAGACGGAGAGAGTGCTAATCATAATTCTGCGCACAACAGTGGGATGATACATTTAGTAGCACTTGATCGTGTTGATGTCAAAGTCAGTGGTGGGAACTTGGACAGCGGATGGAAATATTCTACTTTTTCGGGATATTTAGTTTTTGAGGACGAACATTTTTAATTTTAGTCATTTCAATTTTTCTCTACTGTAGCGATCGAGAAATTCGTCGCTGGTCGTCCAGATCTTTAATAAAATATTAAAAATCTATATAATAATGTATTATTTGCATTATATATACCGGCATGTATAAAATTTAATCAAAATAGCCTGCGTTAGAATTGCTATGTCATTGATTCGTGCAAATAAGGAAAACTAAGATTGAGAACGATGAATTACGATCCAAATCTATGCTCACTCTGACTACATGATTTGTTGGAAACTGATTTTTCCTGTTTTGTAGCATGTGGATAACACGGATAGAGCACATATGTAGGGTTTGATTCATTAATACTTATAACTTTTAATGTGGGTAAAATTGACTACACAACTTTTCAGCACCGATTCTTAATAAACAGTGGCTTCCATCGTTGCCCAATCGCTTTCAAAGGCCCTAAATCTTGTAATTTGCATGAAAAACGAACATCAAGAGAATGGAGTTGACCAGGATAAGTTCAGAAAACAATAATATGCATCGTCTTTGGTATATCTGTACATGCCGACTTTGCAAATAAAATAAATCAAAAACCCTGCTTACGATTTTAAAATATCGGCACCAATTTCTTATTCAAGTGCTGTTGTACAACTACCACAGCAGGCGACCACAGCAGCACCATTCTTACTCCAGATTCAATTCAGATGATTTATAAATCTGTTACTTTCCTATCATTTTTCATACCAATGCTGTGTTTGTGTCGGTTTCTGCGTCGTACACTAAGACAGTTATTTTCGACCGACACTGGTGTTTCGACAATGGTGCGATAATGGACATTCAGATGTTCCGAGTCAATTGTTTTTCCTTATTTCCTAATATTTTTCGATTGACATATTTATGATTACGAATTGAACATAGTAATTAAAACTCGCCAAGTACGTATTCGATTTAAGATGAGTTTGTTGTTTGATGAAAAGAATTCACAACACTTCAAAATCTTTGAATCTTGTTTTCAGGTTCGATGACTCCATAACATAAATTTGTTTAGCTATTAAGGTTTGGCAGTGATGGCAGTTTGTCAACGTTATTCAAACTGTGTTTTCATCGTTCATTAAATCAATACGCATGCATCAATGACAACGACACATCGAAGAGGAGTCGTACTCGCCTTCTAGTTGCGTAATGATATCCATCACAATGACAGCAGTTCGATTTGTTTGCACACAGCCTCAAGCGTAAGACCCAGACCACCGCAAATTACTTTATTATCTTTATTTTATTTTTCAGCAATATCAGTGGAATTCCCGTAATCATATATAAAAGCAAACATACTCAATGGCAAATAAATTGAAAGAGTGAGTGAAATAAAATTCTTGGGAGTTATCTTTGATGGAAATCTTACCTGGAAATCACAAATCGCGCATGTCATCAGTATAACAATAAGAAAATTATCAAATTAATAGAGATTCTACGATTGGCCTTTCGAGCTGAGCTCTATTTGAACACGTCTTTTATCTGTCGCGGGCGGTAGCGGCTTGCATTACAATCGAAGTCCACGCGCTCAGTACAGTGTGATGGTAACTAGTTCCTTACTCAGCCTGGACTGATAACCGGAGGAAGCCGTGGTTAGTGATATGATTAAGCCATCTTGAAGACTTTTTTCTACCTGGGATCTTATATTCTGGACATTAGAGAAGTGGTCTCGTAATCTTTGGTTGCTATTGTGTTTAGTTTTGATTTTTACACATAAAGCACTTATATCAGAACGGAAGCGATTTCTGGTAAACGGTTCTACTAAATTCAAATGCGATAACTCAGATTTGCATACATTTGAATTACGAAAACGTTTATAATGCTACAGCAAATCTTTTCATGAGTTCGAAACTGTATTAACGTCGATTCTACTCTGAGACAGTTTTGAATTTATGCGCATTAAAGTTACCACCATCCAACTCCACTGTTATACAACTTTTCATAGCACAATTGTAAATTGTCTTATCAATTTGATGGAATTTCGTTAGTCGAGTCTGAGTGAATGTTTTGTGAAATACTTAACGAAAGATTCACCCACAGGAAACTTGAAAACACTTGCCACCCACATACATCGTTGGAAACAAATGAAATAATATCTGATATCGCTAGATCAGATACTTAAAATGTAATGTGATCATAAAATACCATTGGTGCAAAATTTTGTATAGACGCTTATCAACCGTAATGCTGAATAAAATCGCAGATATTACTCACTACGATATCATACTTAAATGAACATTAAACAGGTCAACAATCACTTTGACTTGGAATGAGATGAAAGTTATGACTTTAATAAAAATAATACTACAAGACTTGGGATTGGCAAGATATATTATTTTGCTAAAAATTGGTCACCGCTATGGGTATCATTACACATGATTACAGTCTCTTTTGACTTGGGTCCAAACGGTCGAAGACCATCGAAGATGCACCAGCACAAATATGCAGAAAAATGCCATATGAGGACGTATCATTAACTAGTTTCAAGGTTGCGGTTATAAAATATACTGCAGCATTCCTGTGAGAACTTCGATAATAACGTTTTAATTTGTTCAATATAAAACTACATAAACAGGAAAATGATTCAGCCAATTGATGTGTGGTGAAGAATGTTTCTAATCATTATATATATATAATACAAATAACAGAAATTCCCACAGAAGGTCTTATGTTACGGCTCACGTTCTTTGTCTCGTCTATACCATATAGATTGAACTGCATGTATGTTGTCAGATCCAATTATTGTTGGTTCATGACTCCAGGTATCTTGCGAAGTAGCTTAATATGACGTTTATTCAAACTTTTGAGATATAGCAGAGTATAAAGCTGAACCGGCGATTATTGCTAATCTTCGTTTTCAAATAGGAGATGACCGGAAAAGGTTGAGTACTTCCAACCGCTTTCTAAATTTCCACTACTGACTTGTACAGAAACTCGATCCCGAGCATTTAATCGAAGAAGTCCGCTGTTGTGTGCCGCTTTGTGGTTTGCACTGTCGCCGTCTGCAAACCCTCTAAGTACCATTCGACCATTGACCTAAAAAAGAATACAATATTACATTTTTTACTCTGTGCGTTTATGTAAAAAATTTGAAATGCTGAGATTATAAGAAAAAAATAAAATAATCCTTTAAAAAGAAAAACGTATAAAAGTCTTTTATTGATACTTTATTTTCGAAATCTATGCATGCCATAAGTGATTCTAGAGTCTTGCTTGCACAGTAACACGAATATATTTCTGTAACTAAGGAAAGGTTATTGAGAACAAATAATACAAAATCGCGATCATTCCAAAGTAGTGAAGTATACTTAATATGTTGTGTCTGTTTAACAAGCGAATGAGATGAAATTTCACACATCATAATAGTTTTCATGAGTCTGATAATAAAAGAAAGATTGGGATCTTTGGCGGCCAGAACAGAAGAAAATTCAATAAAATGATGAACATCATCCATGAACACTGTAATCACAATTTAATCTTATTCATTAAATCAATCGTTCATCGTGAACACAAAATTTGTGATTCATAATTTAGATTAGCTGTTTTTGTGACCTTTCATATCCATTAAAAAGAAGTTGCTTATAATTAGGGCTGGGCATTTCGAATCGAATAGTAAATTATTCGAATCGGTTCAGACTGGAATTTCGAATCGCCGCCATCTTGTTTTTATCTTTCCGCTAATGGTCGAGGTGAATTCCCCAATTTTTTTTTCATTGAAGTCATATTTTTTCAACGAAATTCTAACATATGACTATTTTCTGTGGTGAGTTATTGAAAAAACGTGTTTGTTATTCTGTGTGAACGCTCAGTAATCTATCTGAGTGATTTACTCTATCTCTTCAGTAATTCATTTGTTGAGAGGACCAATTACTATGATAAAGTCGCTTACAATTTTATATTTTCAAGTATTCGAGATTCGATTCGATTCGAAAAAATTATTCGATTCGATTCTGAAATCACAAGGTATTCGAAAATGCCCAGCCCTACTTATAATCCACTCTGCAACTGAATGCACTTGACCAAAGCAGAAACGACCCGAGTCAACATCGGTGATTCATCACAAATGATCCAAATGAATTTCGACTGCTCAAGTATTTGGTGTTATGTTTGTCATATTATTGATATAACCAAAATTTTGTTTTAGGTTAGATGATCTGCCGTTTGCAATTATATTGTATTGCTTCTATAAACATAATATTTTTGGTATAATTCGCCTCTCCGTATGCTACGTAGATACGCGAGGTTTGTCACAACGAAGTACATGACAATTCAATGCATGGCTGTGTTTTGGAATTTTCATCTATATAGCTTTGAATGTACCAAATCATAAATCAAAATTTGACAGTTTGCCAAAGCTAATGGCAGTAGGCAAGATGGAAGATTGTAGAGAAAGATTATGTCAGGATCCAATACACTCTTTCCTTTGATGGTTAAGGTTATTCGAAGGAGGAAATCGATATATAAGTAGTGATTTTATTTACCCGGACAATGTTTTAAATCGTCTCTCTATAAAATTGTAGTTTAATACACTGTATTTCGCTTTATGGATGTATTTTGATTAATTGAATTCTAGCAATTTAATTGATGATAAAATTCATAATATTGTGGTACGGCAAAGTTGTGTTATCAATCAATATTTTGCCTGTCAAAAAACAAACCGGTCAGCGAGCAAACATTCCATGCTATAACTGATAAAAAGCATACCTTGGAACCATCTATGGCCTGTTTTGAACGGTGCTTACATTATGCAATTGTGATAGCCATTAGAAAGAAGTTCTGATCTTTCATGAATTATTCACATTGTCAATTTGAAAGTTAACTCACTAAATCTGGTCCAGCTATTAAAATGAGGTAACGTTTCGATGGAGACAATTAAGCTGTGTATGGAATATATACCTTGAACAATTAAAAAAAATCATTTATGATTTAGACTTGGTTGGAAAAATATTCTTAAACAGTTTCTCATCGATATTCATGATCTTGTGCGCTCAAACATAGTCGCAAGAAGAACCGCTGCGCTTTGTTGGAAGAATCAACTTCCGGCTGCGTGATTCTATTCGATACTTTAGATATCAGCGACATACAATCACAACCAATTGCTATTTTCCTCAACGGATATCTTATTGCCGTGTTAGTTCACATTTGCCACATTTAGACGAAGTATTCATTATGTAGCTTAAGGTGTCGTCTTGACAAAACTTTCATTGGAGTTGAATACTTTGGTCTTACTACAGGCAAATTTAATCGGAAACTACCATTCCAACACGAAACATTTAAACTAATATTTTTTTGTATAAGCTGCCGAAACGTTGTTATTGCTAACTAATGTTAGGTATAAATCAGACAAACCTCAAGTCCAGAGAGGAATCCAAAGTTTGTGCTGTTATTAAACATTTCATAAGTGATTTAGGTTCTGTTCAATTTGCAAACGCATTTGAAATTTCCTTTTATTTACGCGAGATTGATTTTAATCACGTTTAGGACTGAATTCAATAAATCACTCTGTTGTACCGAAGATATTTTATTAGCCTGATTCTCAAGGGACTACAATGTGCAGACAGCAGATTAAACCCGCGTGCTTAATATCAACTGACTTGACGAAATCGAGATGTCGAAAGAATTTAATCATTTTTCTCCATTCTACCTTATTCACGTCATACAACAAGCACAACTTTGTGTCGGATTGAAATCGATGTAAAGGCGTAAATAATCACGTATTAAACTCAAACGCCAGCGAATTGTACGTTGGCCGAAATAGATATTGTATGAGATCAACAAACCAGCTTTGAATCTCTTTTCACTGCTAGCGGAAACGTAAAACAATTTAAAATCAAATAGCAATATTCATAAATAACTATATATTGTAGAACATATGTGAATCTTGCTCAAAATTGCATATATTGAAGTGAAATAGATTCAATGATTTTCTTTGATATACGACCTAGAATTAGCGGACGGAAGGTAAAATAACATTTCATGATTACTCTCTAAATGCCATCCGCTCATCGTATATCATTCATGTTGTCGTCAGATCAGCGGAACAAATCGAAATATCATTTTGCCAGCGTATTGTTTAATCCCGCAATTTGTAAATTCTCGAAAATTTTGAATTTATTTTTGTGTTTGTTTAATTTAACTATGAATTTAACTTTTGTCAAGATTCACTTTCACCTCTTGCTAGCTACCCATTCGTGAATGAGCCTAACGGAGTTTTATCCTAATAATCTAATTCACCAAAGTTTTTAAAACTCTTTAGAACTTATTTTGAAACTTTAGACCATGTTTTGAAATTTATTGCTTAAAGCACGAAAGATAATTAGTTTTTATCTTGACATGTATACATTTGCATTAGATATTCTATGAATTATGTAGTATGTGGTGGAAGAGTAGCATAGAGTGTCATTTTTGCGTATACACACGAAATACATATGGCGATAGGTTATGATGTCATGTCAGGTAATTGAATCCCATTCTCAAACAAAAAATATCGATTTTCTTCAGAATTATTGCGAGTTCAAATTTGAATAAAATATTTGATTTTGAGACTTTTCAGCCATAATTACCCCAGCATTTTTCAACTTTTTAGTTGTATACAATCTAAACAAATCCTTGAGTTTTCGCGACATACTGTTGCAATCTTGCTGGCTAAGAATTGCAAAATAATTCTACGGAAAATCCACGCTATCAATACCAATCTGGCACTCTGCATTTACACATTATATTTTATCACGAATGTCAAAATATATTCGGTAACTCGAACAGTGTTTGGATTTACCCACACTAGTATAGAACGGTAAGATAACCGTATTGCAATCATGCGGTCAGTGCTTTATCGAGAAAAATGTTTAGATGTTTCGGTAGCGAATAACTAAAGTTGTCTTTTTTCCTTGGAGATTATTCATTCTCCGATGAAGAAAATATAAACAAAGTGCGATCGAGATATAAAGAGCAGTGAACTTAACATTCATAATACACATGATCAAGCTTGGTATGATGATTTTATTTAGAGTTATAAATAATAAAAATATCCAGAAGCCAGATATTACAGATAACGCATAGTTTTTTTTCGGGGTACTGTCAGATCTCTCACAGTCATTAACCGGTAACCGGAAAAAAGCCGATTGGCACTGTGATGTTTACCCATTTTCGCAAGATATTAAAAACACTGCATTCTTATTATTTTCGTGGGCCGATTTGTCAACCGTATATAATATCATACCAAGTATAAATGTATAATTATTTCTCTGCATCGTGGACAAAAAGTTGATGAATTGAAACAAGTATTCAAATAAAATATGTTTTTTTTTAAATACTTCTCCCTATACTTTTTAAAGATAATAAAATCAAAAGATGATGTTAAAATATCAAATTTGATGAAGAAGTGAGCTCAAATGCATTGAAATGTCTTTTGGCCATCAAGCTTAAAATTTCGGAATTATTTTTATGACTCGTAAAATATGCGAAAATACATGTAACTAAATATTAGAAACTGTTGAAAACAAGCGTAACCAACGCTCCGAGTGCAAATATAGGCATAAGATGAGCAAATTTTGCAATTTTATACTTTATCTATTACTTTATTTCAATTGAAAAGTGCAAGTGATGGAAATTATATTGGATAATAACACTAGAATGATTTTTATACCAGTTAATATAAGATTGTATATTGAATTGGATTTCGAATAATAATTCAGTTTAAATAATTAAACTCAGCATTAAATCCCCATTACCATATTATAAATTCACATTAACTGACCATTATTTTATTGGTTAATAATATATTTTACTGTTTACGGCGTATTCGTCAAAATTCAAAGCTACCTGGTTAAGCTTAGTTTATTACTTGTTACGACATTTCATGTATAATTCATTATCAAAATCGATTCAAATTTGAGAATTAGGACAGATTAATATTGAAATTATGCAATTTTCCATGATTAGGTTTCGCGCGTGATGAAATCTGCACTCAAACGAGTTGAAATATAAACCAAATTTATAATTTTCTGGAAAATTCAATTATATACAAGTCTGATTCCTGACGAAATATATTTTTATTGAAAATTTTGAAAAAACAGCGCTGACTTAAATAAAAAAATTCATATTTGATGGAGTCAAATAAATTTTATTGAATTACAAACAAAATGAATCCATAATTCGAAATATTTGTCTATGCAAATCTTTTGTGTCATTATTTTTCCTAATTGTTTCACTTAGATTTGGAAACTTAGGAATATCAAACAACACGAATAACTCAATAATAAATGTTTTCTGATACTTTGTGGAAGTTGAAAACAAATACAAAAACATTGTACAAAGGAGAGTGATGTAAAATGGAATTATTTTTTAATTTAATGCTATTTGTTTTAATTTATTCAGATACAATTTATGTTTATTTTCAGGAGTCAATTCTTTTTTTTAATATGGTTTATAAATAACAGATTGTCTGATTTCATATTCAAAACTAGTTTATTATGTTAAGAATTAAAATAAACTGTTGTAATCTGACTATTTAATATACGAATAAACTCATTTTAAAACCAGAAAGTTGGGTTAATATGCTTTTCATTTCAAACTGTACATCAATCATATGTATTTTTAAATAGTTATTGCTAAGATTTGTCGGTGCTCCCGAAGTATGCGAACCAAGATGGCGGACATCGGAACGTAACATTGGGTAACAGGTTAGGGGTTAGGCCATAATTTTTTTCCAATTTTCCTCATTTTAGTCCTATTATCAGTTCGAAGACTAGCCAAGAGCCTCCCGGAGTATTTATATCTAAAATTATGGCCTAACCCTAACCTAGTAACATATTACATTCCGATGTCCGCCATCTTGGTTCGCATACTTCGGGAGCACCGATTTGTCTTTATTTAGGAATTTATTTGTTCAATTTCCAAGGCAGAAATCAGCATTCCTGCTCAACAAACGGGTTAATTAGGCCTGATTATGTACAAGCTAAGATAAATCTTGCGAAACAACTGCCCATATTTTCATATGAGAGAATTTTAAATACTATAGAATCTTGTGAGGGTTTTCGATATTCCTAATAAATCGAAACTGATATGCTTAAAGCCAGAAATGGGCCAAATTCTTTCCATGGGCCATTTGAGACCCTTGGCGAATTTTTGTGCGACCCGAGAAAGACGCAAAAGAAACTACTTGATGATAATATTTGATCGACTGAAATCCCGTTAGATTCATAGCGCCAAACTACAAATTCAGAGGCGCGAATAAAATAAATTCTTCCTGAGAAAACATTGATTGTTCTCTATAGGCCCATATCTGCTGAAAAATTTCCACGTTTTCTATATTTTAGTTATAGTATATACATAGATTTGTTTATAAAGATTAGAGAAATTTGTATAAATGCCTATATGGACAGATCCCAATCCCAACAAGCGATGGGATTTCAGACTTAAAAAAATATTGTAGATAAAATCGGGTACATTTTTTTTGGTGATGAAATTTTGAAAATATATGTGACTGCATTTTAGATTGAATAACACCACGGTGCTCTATTTTACTGGCAATTGTTAGTTTTGATTTTAGAGCAATTTAAAATACAAAACACGCTAATTAATAAGTGAGGAACTTGCCTACTACTGCACTGCCACGATATAGCCCGCAAGCAAAAAACAATTGTACATCCCTGCTTTTAGCCATATTAGATTTCACGCATAACCAATACACAATAAATCCTTTGACAGACAGTTTTTTGATATATGATATGGTGGCGTAACGAATGTAAAATACATTTCCAATTCCCCTGTCTTATCTGCACTGCTTCATGGCACATATGTCAATAAGACCATATGCCTGGAATTTAAGTAACCCTACCACAGGTTAAGATACCATTGGAAAAAAAAACACGTACGTAAAGAACCGCATGCACATCTGCAAGCCATGTCAAGATTCTAAATTCTAAACCTGAATTCTTGATTAGCATCGCATGTTTCTGAAACCGACGTTCAAATTTATGTGCAAGAAAACAACGAGTTTCGAGTGTAATAAATTATAGTTGAGCATAATCGAACTAGAAGGCGAAAAGTGAAAAGCACCAGAGTGTAGGATTTGGTATTACATTAAATTGCCTACAGCAATTTTCAATATTGTTTGGTTTAGTGCAAAGTCAATTGTTGTTATAAAATGATACTTCACTTACGTGCAAATCTATCGTCAACGGATTCTTGTTGTATAATCTGTAAATTTGAAAAGATATCGAGTACACTCCATTCACCGGTGCTACAAAATTGCTGCTCTCCATGTCGAACGCGTTTCCAGCGTTGACCATGACATGATCAAAAGTCACAGTGGTACCGCCATTCAAAGCCGTATTTGCGGTTGCCAGTTCTGTGCTGCGCTTCACGGAAAATGCCACTCTTCTCTCTCGTCTTGCAGATCCTACAGTGCTCCCACAGGCAGAAGACGACATTCTGTCCCAAAAGCTTGTGGCCGAACCCATTGGTCCGGGAGTTTTGCGAAAACTATCACGACTTTTAAATCGTGATGAATCCGAAGGTGTAGATTTGCTTCCTGCTTTAAACTGGGAATTAAGTCCATCGATATTTGCATCACATACCACAATACAGTTTCCTTCTAGTGCAAGGTTTGGATCTGGTTCTCTTGGGCTGTCGCCCTCTGAAACGTCTCTTTTTAATCTTGTGATGTGCGAGACGCTAGCTTGAACAACATTACTCCCGAAACGAATCTTAGAATTAGAAAATTGTAGAACGAAAAAGAAGTAAATGGCAGAGAAAACTCTCATGATTACTTCTACAAATCGATAGTTTGGTCTTTTCGTCAGATCATACGTAAAACAATGATTGTCTCACTTTCACATTTGCAGTAAAGGAGTTCCTAAATGTCAGTTAATTGTGCAAATTTTAACAACATAAAGTATTTCAAAATACCAAATTTTTTTCTGTGAATGACCTGCTAAATAAAAAACAATCAATAGGAAAGTTAATAAAATAATGTGGATTTACTGCGAAAACCAAAAACCTGATGATATTTCCAAAACAGACCTTGCCTATTTTGCAGAAAATTTACATTATGCGCACATTTTATAATATATACGATATAAAACTTATATAGTATATACTACGCTTCATGAATTGGCCTAATTCGGTTGCAACTTGCTCTAACTTTGTCTAAAACTTCTCTACTGCATTTGTCTTTGTGGTAGTTCGCAGTAGTAATAGCATATAAACAAACAACTCATCAATAGTCCTAGCGATGTATATACAGTATAAGTGTTTTCATAGTTAGATTTATATCATTTCCGCGGTGTTGAATATACGAGAGTCAAAAATATATCAATCTTTACAAAATTCTCAATCAGTCTTTAATTACCTTATAGCTAGACCCTCACTCAACTTAGGCACGCAGGAACAAAAGTCGTCATCACCTTGTATTCAATCTTAAACAGAAAATCGCTGAGAAATTAAAAAGAGATATAGAGCGAGCGCATCCTTTGCAAGCGGTGATAGACAAATTGGATGATGACGACGCATGGAATCCAGGCAGCTCATTTTGGCACCGATATTGACATTAATAATTTATTCTGTACCGCATCGGATTTCGTCGTCGGGGGTATGAGTGAAGACAAACACATTTATTACTTCATTTTCTGTCTACAGAGCGAACATCATTTCTACCTGCGTGGCCGATACTTTTTTAATAGAAGGCAAATTTGAAATATGTAAATCAAAATAACGAAGAAAAAATTGCATTGCATTATCGATTGGGTTCAAGAAGAAGCGTTCTGATTGTTACTAAAGATTCAAAATGAGCTAAAACGTTTAAACAGTATTAAAAATGGGCAATCGATTCAAAATATGTTGGAGACATTCTGTTTCAAAATATGGGAGAATATTATAGTTGTGTGCAGCCTTGTGCGGCTAGTTCTTCGTATACAAGACGTTTGATGCTTTATCAAAAATATCTCCTTCCGCCGTGTATATATTGAAAAACCACAATGGGCGTGAACTTTAATACGTCATTTTCAACTGCTCTCGTGGATGAGAAGTGATTTTCGAAGTAGTTAGTATTCAGGCGTATAAAGTTTCATTATTATATTTCAAAATTGTTCAAAATTACACTCAATGGAATTCGATTATAAATGGCACAAAAATAATCAGAAAAAATTCAATGGTTCCACAGAATTGGCAAAATTCGAATTATACAAAAATTACATGTATTTTTCCACTGTTCCGTGAACTAATAGAGAGCGATAGAGCATGGTCATAAAAGTAAATACCGGGAAAAAAATATTTAAAAAATTACCTCGTCTGATTTGATACCCAACTACTCATTTATGAAAAAACTATCATTTTTAATAGCGATGGACCAAACAACGTATTTAAGTGTGCTATTTGTGTCTAACCCCTCTAAAACACAGAAACTTCATGGGACGGTAGCAATGTCATTCTTATTCCCAAGCATAGAGCATCGTTGTTGAAATAGCAAATATTTTCACAACTTCTGGCCAATACAACCTCTAGTTTTATCACATAAAATTATTGCAGTTAAACATGTTAATATTTTAATCGGTTTAGTTTGGCAATATGAAAGCAAATTACAAATGGGCAATATTATCAATTTGCCCTGTCAATTACGATAGGAGTAGAACCAGAGACGATTAGAACGTTTCACAATTCGATTCCGAAAGCATTTAAATACTAGAATGATCGTGATTATTTTGTCTGTTGGAAAACTCAAAGTTAGGAAAATCAATGCAAGCGTCATAATGGGTTTATTGTCAATTTAGTTTCCATTATTGCGGACGTCAGACTTTGCATGCTCACGTAAGCTTGCTCTCCGACAAATAGCCAAATGACCTTTAATTCACATTTGCTACAGTTATCATGGTCATTAGGACAATTATCATCCTTCGCAAAATAAATAGTTTTGTTACAACGAAAACTTCTGCTCGTCTATATTTCAGAAAATGCCTTACCGAAGCTAGCACAATCTGTCAAATTTTGCCATGGTCGGCGTTTGGACAGAGGCTCAAACGGGGAGAAGACGTTTATTTGTAAAATGTTTCAATAAAACAATTTCAAATTGGTAATAATCGAAACTCTTATTTTTATTCAAATAATAACGTACAAAATAGTTATTTCAACAACAGCCGTTATTAAAATTTATCAACGATCAAGGGGCGCTTTTTTGAAGTTTGGTTAGGCGCTATTTTACGCCACTGTATCAACAGCGTCTTTCCTCTCGCCAATTCAAGAAATACTTTGAGTATTGAACCATCTGGTTTCTCTATTGCGGTTGTGGATATTTGCATCCATCTATTATTGAGACACATTCTTTGTATTGTATAATGCATTTGAATTACTAATATTTTTACTTTTTGTTGTAATACATATTCATATGCATGTATTGCAAACTGTACAAAAGCCATAATGCGAGTTGCGCACACCACTAGATAATGATTCATTAAATATTGAACCGAAAACTCAAACAGAGTTTTTGTGCACAGTGAGGGTTTCAATGAAGAGTTAGGCAAAAAGGTGGGGGATTAGAAACGGTTATATGAACCACTGACCTAAATCATAAAAAGTACAGTCTTGTTGTGATTTTTTTTTTGTCGAAGGCGGAAAAACAAGTAGATTAGCAGTTGTCGACATATTTGTCGTTTAAAAAAATTTCTTTTCGGAAGAAATTTAAGGCTTTTCAGTTGTGCAGTTCCTTTTGATAATCAGCATATTTAGAGGTTAGATAAAAGCTTAATCTACGTTTCCGCCTCGCTGTTGATGCATTCGTACCACCTTGTAGATCAAATTGCGGACGCCGTAACGCTTGTTTCGTTTGGAGCGGAATTTATCTGTTGTTTGACTAATAGCGATATGTGGTATGAAAATTTTACTAGTTATCTCTGCATATTTTCTTTACTGCCCTGCAGACAGGCGAGCACCTCACATTGTACATTGCACCTTCGTCACTTCGGCGGGAAAATTGACTAGCGTCAGAATGGGCCTAAAATATGAGTAATATCGGCATCAGCCTTCCAATGGGTATGATAAAACCTCTGCTACAAGATTCCCTCCTTTTTTTAGAACATTATAGGTCATAATATTCTGAAATCATCACACACAAAAAACAATATATACAAAAAACTTGTACACCATTGGAAATGCACAAATAAATTTACATCCTGTACTGTGGTGTGCATACTCGGCAACTATGCTACTGAAATTACGCGACAATGTATTGAATTTTGCGAGACAATTATTTTATAGTTACGACGGGGGTAGGGGCAGGTAGCCAACGGGACGGCCTAATCATATGGCGTACCACGAATTCTCCTCCGGCCACCAGTCCGTGTCTGGTATGAAATTAGTTTTTTGTTTCAGATGCATGGACTTGGTGGTGAAGGAAGCCCTAATCACTGAACTGGAAATATATATACCTACATAGCTCTGTCATCGTAACCTACCAGCGTTTACATAAACATCTCTAGGCGGTGAAAAGTAATCCTCTGACACATAATGTCAGAGTCAGAAATGTTGCTTCGTCAGTCTGCTGGGTCAGTGGGTTGTCTAAATTCTGATATTACAGAATTAGCTATTGAGCAGTTGACAGATTCAGGTGAATTTTGAATCGATGAACATCGATGAACAACTCCTCTGAAGCATCGCCATGCCATGTCAACATGTAGAAATGCGATTTTATTTCTTTACAATATCTGGTATTGTGATAAGGTATATGTAAGTTGTGCGTAACGTTATGTCTAATTCTCGCGCCTGGTTCTATTTGAATGTTTTGCGGTTTTCTGAATTTTCACATAATTTTCATAATTTTGTAAAATTTATCCAGTTTTCATATTTATAGAAAAATATATCGCATTTTAGTTCTGATTCTTCTTTGCTGGTAATACCGAAGAAAGCGCATTGAGAACTTAATCTATTGTCCATCCTTGTATATTCATGGAAGAAAAGCGAATATTCAGATGGTTTGTACAAGTATCCTACAGAAGAAGTAGCTTTGACTGTGTATTAGTATTTTATTTTGTAACGGCAGTATGAATATGTATTTTGGTGTTCAATTTCCTGATTTATATACCCATTTCACAGTTGCATGACACAATTTTAATGTTGGCAATGCGTTATGGGTTCCATTTTAAATATTTTATGGCACACATATACTTGGTATTGGATTGCATTTCTATTATGTATATTACATATTTAAAAATTCAAGACAACACAAAGTATGTGTAAGAATGAATTGAATAACCCATGAAGGTTTCGGTATTTCTGTGATTGGTTTTTAAGACATTTATTGTTTAGAGAATATTATGAATACAAATATTGGTATCTTTTGAGTAAAGCCTTTTTGAAATAACTGATTGCTCGGTTTACACCTAGTTTTGTATGCATACAAATTTTAAATGTGATGGTGGTGAACAGTCTGAATGTTAAAATAATATATGAAACTAAAACTTTCTGAGTTGCTGTTAATTATTTATCAACCTTATATAATCGCATGCTCCCGAACAATGAAATACAAACCCTCTTCATATACTCGTTGGAATTAATCTATGAAAGTTAATTGATGAATTATTCTGAATGCATGCAATAACAAGCGCGCAGCCAGGATTTTCAAAAGTCCCTTTTGAAACAGTCACCGCAATTACGCGCTCGTTAAAAAAGCCTACTTTTTCAGTGTATACCGACTTTGCTGTAGTGTAAAATTTTCAATCCATGACAGCTACGAGAATCGTAAATTCCCTTCTATATTAATATAATTGTGTCCAACGTAACTTGCGGTGCGTCTTCTTGCGTCAAAATAAAAACATTACTATTCTAAAATATCACGTCAATCTGTTGACATAAAAATATAAGATAAACATGCCTACTTGTATTTAGTTTTGATACTTTTTTTGCGATTTCGTTATTGCCGTCAGTAAAATCTCAAGATCTGTAATAAAATCCCGTAAAGTACAATTAAATACGTAAAATGTATATCAGTAAAGCAAAAATACATATTCATCGTCTAGAAATCCCGGGAAAAGCCTTTTTCCATGGATAATATTGTATTTCCTGTTGTGCAAAGTAATCAATTCATGACCGATAAGGGCGTATTTGAAATTCTTGATTTATTAATTTAATTGTCTTCAATTAAACCTGCGGTTGCGCCGACAAAATAAAATACCTCGGCAATCCGCGGCATAAAAATGTGTGGTAAACTACCCGATTATATCTAGTTTTGATAAGTATTTTTGCCATTTTGCGAATTCGACAAATCTGAGCTGTACCTGCAACTCTGACTCCCCTTTATCGCAAGGCTGCCACTTGATTATTTTTAAGAGAAAACCGTTAGAAAAATTTCTAAGTTTGCTATTAAATCTCATGGAGTATAATTTATTTCAGTACAATATGAATTGATTGAAAAAACTTCAGTTAATTATCTTATATATCATCACAACTTGGGAAAAATTCGCGTTTCCAAACTTGCATGATATTAACACAAAAATTTTTGGCGTCTATTTAAAGTAATGGATAAAAAGGTAATCCCGCGCACATTTGACTGTGTTTGGATTTTAGTGACGGTATGGTTCCCAACGCCCACCAAACATAATGAGTGCCGTAGCCACACAAAATTTTGCGACCCCGACACATCTGCTATGCGCCTAAATGATGGTACGCCATGGCATGAATGGACAAAAAGTCAGCTACCGACTACTGGGAAGTATTAATATTTCAGGTATATTTGGAAAATATCATTATCAAGTTCCTTGGCCATGTTAATTGTTCATTATGTTTTTTTTTATTTCAAAAATACATGGATATGCATTTATTACTAAATTTGAACAACTTGTCTTGGGCACAATTGTTAGAAATATTGGGCATAAATGAGCTCTAAGCAATGACTTTGCCAATGTCCAATGCTCTAACTAGGTTTTGACGACTTAGTGTTCTATAGAACAGCGGTTCCCAGAAGGTGCGCCGTGGCGATTTGCTAAGTGCGCCGCGAAAATTAATAGAATTGTTTTAAACATAATTAAAATATGATCGAATATTTTACATATTGTATTTATTATAACTGTTTAATTGTATATTGCTGGATATATGAATCAATACATTCATTTTACCTTTCTAAGTCGTTTATTTTCTGTTGTGTCTATCCATTGTTACATAACAATAGAGGTAGACGCAATTTAATGCTATTTCGCAATCTGCAGTTTATTTATCCTCTGAACCGAGTTTAGCGAACATGAGTAATTTTTTTAGTATTTCAAATGAAAATCAGGCGGAGATGAGAAGGAAAAATTGAAATTTTGCGTCTACATGTTTACAAAATTTAAAAGGCATAAAGTACACATTAACGATCACGAAATTGAGTTTTATTTAAGCAGCAATTTTTGCGCCGTGAGTTTTTTCCCTGATAATTTGGCGCCGCACGAGCAAAAAGTTCTGAATAAACAAATATTCCTATTTATCTACTTTTATAGTTGTTCCAGTTCAATGAATACTAGGTTTCATTCATTTATTTTAGGAAGCGGAAAGTACCACAGTACGAGAACGGGATATTGCGCAGTTGTCTTGAAACTTGATATTTTGAAACGGTTTTATATGCACGGTGGGATAAACGGGAATATTTAAAAACAAAGTTCGAGACTAAGAAGCTTGACAGCATTCATAATTTCAGGGAATTAGCAAGTTTCGATTTTTCGTCACAACAAGGAGGCAAAACTATATTAATTATACAGAAAATTAGGCCAATGCTATAAAAAGATTCGATACAAGCGCCTATTTGCCCCAAACAACACATCGGAGTAAATCAATAAAAGAAATACACGAATATAAATCGGGTGTAAATACTTGGGTGCAAACGCACAATTTACATTATATTGTTCGTGAGCAGAGGTAACAAAAAAAGTGACGCACAATATGTAATGAAAATCTGATACTGAGCGCACGTTGAAAAATTCCCAACCTCTGTCTCTGTTTAGTCGCCTCGGCTAAGCGCATATGTATTTTTTCTGATCGACGTTTCAACTGCGACCAGGCGCTCAAAAAAATATTGAGATGTATTCGCTTTGGGTCGATGTGAGCTATTGATTCCACTCTACTTTGAATACATTCTGTATAAAATCGAAATCTGCCAGAATATTAGCAAAAATCGCAGAATTTCACCATTTTTTTAATATTATTATTAATTAGAATAGTCCTCTATATTCAGAGACAAGTTCGATGTAATTCGATTATCTTTAATTTTCACAGAACTGTCAATAATCACACCACAAAAAACCGCAGGATATCATTACAATTTTTAATTGCGATAAGTTTATACATATAAATATGATGCTACTAAACTGAAGGAACCATAGCTTGAATCTAAATTATCCTCATCTTTGTCACTATAATACAGATCATATATAAACTCTCAGAACGATTACGGTCAGTAGTAACCAACAAACAACCAACTACCACTCCCAACAAACATCTTCATAAAATTATGTACTGTAGGCTAGCAGATGACAGATGCTGCGGAGATAACACAAAATCTAGAAGCAGTTTAGTCGCATCCATACGTTATCATCATTGCAATCAAAATGCTTAACAATATACTGGAAAGCTATCAAAAATGAAAATAATAACGACAGGTCAAGCCATATCATTTGCTGGTTTAAACTAGAAATATGACTAGATGTTACCAATCCAAATTCAGACCTATGGAGCGCGGACCATTTTACATAATATAAATTGTAATCCGAACTGCAAACACTCGGTCCCTGAAGTTATGACCGTAGTATTTACACATAGATAGATAATAATTCATAATTAATCCAAAGAGAAACATCATATTTTATATTCTTCGCGTCAGGGTGACCAATTTTAGCACGTTTGAGTAGTTTGAGAATCACGGATCTAAAGAGTCTGCTATTATAGAATTACTTGTTGAGTATATAGACTAATATTATTGAATCTGAAATTTTTTTTTTACCTTTGGACCATGCCTAATTTCAATCGATTGAAATTGAATCCCAAAACTTCCTTTGTCGACGATGACAGAAACAGGTTTTGGGTGACCGTCTGTGCAGTAGTGGGATTTAAATTTTTCGTCAGCCGGGAACTCTTTCAGACCGACGGGATTCATATGAATATATTTTAAGTCTGTCGCGTCGGCCGGGAATGTATTCATATGAATACCAAGATTGTATTATTCCTATTTCATTCGCGGAATGTGTGATTTATCTACGAGTTGTAGATCTACGGAATGTGTGATTTATCTACGGGGTGATATATGAATAAATGTGGTATGCTTAGTTGACCGACACGAAATTGCCGACAATTCCTCCAGTTACACTTGGCCCAGGCATGGGTGAACATGCGATGTCGGATTTTTGTGTTCCCCTCGACCTATGACAATCAGATTAAAGGCAATTGTGATTATAATTTAGATGTGAATGACTGATACTATTACATTTTAGTTATGGTGGCATATTGTAGAAAATACCATATTTAATTTTGAGAGTATGACGTAATGATTACGTCAAAATTATACCATTGGGGAACACTTTGTGATTATCTTGAAAAACGCACAGCTGAGTGTAGTTTACTTCGTGTTGTGCAATGTTGAAGAAATATGTTTACGACGTGTTGTGCAATGCGGTAGATAAACGCTGCTCTTTCTGTGATAATAAAGAAATAGAACACTTTTTGATTATCTTGAAAAACGCACAGCTGGGTGTAGTTTACTTCGTGTTGTGCAATGTTGAAGAAATACGCTTACGACGTGTTGTGCAATGCGGTAGATAAACGCTGCTCTCTTTGTGATAATAAAGAAATAGAAAAAAAATCAGGAAAGAAAGAAGAACGTAGAATCGGCTTATAAAAACTAGTGTTCCCATTGTTATCACAAAAATTGAAATAACGCATATCTCGAGGACAAAATAATTTTATAATCTTCAATTTTGGTCAATATAATATAGTTAACGATTGGTGTATCTGATTCACGCAAGTTCGATTCATTTATTTTGCGAATTCTTTAGACAGGGTTTTATTGGGAACACTGCGGGCATCAAGCGCTTTACGACCTGCTGATGAGGGAATTTTCTCTAATCAATACTTTGTTACTTCTTTCTGCTTTGAGCAAGGTTAGTCGCATAAAAATATAGCTGTTGTACCAAATCTGTTGTATTAAAATGGAGGAAGAGTTTCAGAAATATGAAGCAGAAATTAACAGTGGGAGTGAGGGCGTGGAAGATACTTCAAGTGAAGACGAGGAATCTCATTATATTTATGATGACCTTCTGGGTGAGTGAAAACATAATACTTCTTTTATCAATCAATTCCAACCTAAAAGCCGGATGGCATATATATAGTAATTTTATCTATTTTTCAAAATTGAGACTATAATAAGAGTTAGAACTTGATGTTTAAACCAGACACGGGCAAAGTACGGCCCGCGGGCCAAATTCGGCCCGTTGGGTAATTCAATCTTGCCGCCTAATGCTGCTGCCACAACCAATCTGAAATCAAATTTTGATGTTTTAGCTAATATAACTCAAGGAATTTGCTGACGATTGCCACTAATTCGAGTTTGGCCAGAACTTATTGCTTTCCACCTTTGCTTTGTAATACTATAAATATCGTTCATAAAATGTAACTTTTTACGTCACATTTTTATGGCCCTAAGTCAGGGGTTCTCAACCCATTTTTCTGTTAAGTACCCCCTGAGTCACAAAACATTCAATGCGAACCCCCAAAATCACAAAACAATCAAAGCGAACCCCTTATCCTCCACCCAACTAATCAATTCTAATAAAGCCGCGCATTTCACATTGTGGCGTCACAATCACAACAACGCTACATCAAGGAAAAAATACGCTGAGTTTCAATTGGCATGCATTTTCATCTTGTGGTTACCTAGTTTTCCTTTGTTAGTTAAAAGAAAAAAAACACGCAAAAACTCGACTGCCATCCAAGTACCCCTGGAAATCGTCTCGTGAACCCCTGGGGGTTCGCGAACCCCAGGTTGAGAACCCCTGCCCTAAGTAGACGAAATTTTTGGCTCTTTGTTTAAAAACTGTGCCCACCTCTGCTTTAAAACTTACTTGAGGTTTTGCTCACTTCCTCAATTCTATAATAAGTTTTATTTATTTTGTTTTTATCAATCATTTCATCATCTATTGCTGATTACGTAGTTGAAATAAACTTATACTTATATTCTAGGGCCAAGAGGTTCACCTTCAGTTCAGCCGTCTTTTTCATCTGTATACACCACCCCAATCTCGATGGGACCAGCAATAAATTTGGGATTGGATTTATTTGCTCAGCCATTTTCATCGGACTCAGAAAAAGAGTTGAGTCAGTTTACAACACTCCAACCCATTCGGCCCGCATCCTATGCATATGTGGAACAGCAACAGAGCCCACAGCTGCAATTCAATTATCCCACAATCCAGACTTCTTCAGACATTCCTTCAACATCCACGACTACACCACGTGTAGGAAGGCCCCCTTCGAGAAGATGGCGCCGTGGTCGTCCTAGGATGTCTAGAAGTCCTCAATATCAACAAACCTCACTGATCCAAATACGCCGTGGTCGTCCTAGGATGTCTAGAAGTCCTCAATATCAACAAACCTCACCGATCCAAATATCACCAGCCACAACGCCAACCCATCCAGTTTCAAGTCCATTGCCATCTACCCCAAGATCTTCAGTTTGGGATGAAAATGAATCCGAACATCCTCCACAACCTATTCCATTCACAGGTCAGTCTCGGCATCACCTGAAAGGTGACCAATCTCTCCATTATCGGTTCTATTTCAATTTTTGGATAATGATTTTTGGGATAACATCACATCCCAAACCAACTTGTATGCGGAATAAGAGAAGCAAAGAATTGGAGATAGTGCGACCCCACGAAGTTATGTCAGTGAATGGAAACCAGTAACAGTGGCTGAAATAAAAGTCTTCCTTGGCATCATATCAAGATCGCAACAGGAAAAGTTAGTGATGAGTCCAACACCACATATGCGGTTGTGATGCATCTCATGAGGAATTATCTAGGTGTCGGACATGAAGTGTATACTGATAGATACTATACATCACCCCAACTGTTTGCTGAGTTGTACAGACAAAAAACTGTCGCGGTCGGTACATGCCGAATTGATAGGCGTGGCCTACCAAGAAGTACGATTCAAAAAAAACTCGAAAAAGGGGGGATAGTTTCTTCCAGAAAAGGCTCACTGCTTGTTTTGAAGTGGAAAGACAAGCGTGATGTACTTATGCTTTCCACAAAACATATAAGCGACACTAAAACAGTTCAAGTTCGTGGGCCTGGGGGATACAAAGATAAAGTGAAGCCTGTCGTTGTTCAGGATTATAATGACAACATGGCTGGTGTTGATAAGTCTGACCAGATGTTGTCTTACTACAGTTTTGAGAGAAAAACCAAAAAATGGTGGAAGAAACTTTTTTTCCATCTTTTTAATCTCACTGTTGTGAACTCTCACAAACTTTATACTATGGCGGCTCAAACAAACGACGATTTGAAGAGACTGAATCTTCTAGAATATGTTGAGGAAATAGTCAATAAGCTCACTTGTGAAGCTCATTCTGTAACAACAAGCCAAAGCCATCAAGTTGCGTCACACATCAGGCTATCCGGGCGCCACTTTCCAAAATTGAATGCTGCTAGTGCTGGAAGACATCATGTTCAAAGAAGTTGCCATGTTTGTAGTAAGAAAGATAGATCGAAGAGAAAAGAAGAGGGAGCTGGTCCCAGCACTAAAAACAGGAATTGGACTCAATATCATTGCCCCATCTGCATCGTGTTCTTACATGTCGATCCGTGCTTCGAATTGTACCACACAATGGTGGAATACGACAAATAGGAAAGCGTTTGCATATAGATTTCTTCATTTTACGTTTTTTCATATGTTATCTGTTTGTATATATTGGATTTCTCATATTTTAGCAGTGTTGTTTTTTGTATGCCCCCTTTTTTTAATTCCGCTTATTCAAAACACTGTTCAATACATCATTACACTGCTCATATTTGAAAGCTGTTAGTTTATTTCCGGTGTACGTTTTCTGCATTATGTTTTTGTTTCATACAAGTGTATATAATTTTTCATTCTATGTTTTTCATATTCAAAAAATTTTTCATTCCATGTTTCTTCATATTCAAAACATCCACTACACTGTTAGTATTCCAAAGCTGTGTCACTTTATATGTTCATATTAAAAAATTTGCTTGAAACACAATTGTCTTTGATAATTCAGAAGGGGGGAGGGGATAATTCTGAGCTGGGTTCGTCGAAGAAATCTTGAATTTTTTTTCAAACCTGGAGTAGGCAGCACAACACGATTGGTTCTTAGGCTCTACATCTGGGTAGACTAAATTATCTTATAATCTAACAAGCATAAAATTAATGGGCCTATAATTTAATTATAATTAGAAAAATGGCAACAAAACGCAGAAAAGTTGATGATAAGGGTTCAATGGCACCGAAAATACTCTAATGGAACTTTTTGAGATGCAATGTAATGAGGAAATAAATCTATATTTATTTGAGAGCTGTATCACTGCTTGGTTTTTATTATAAAAAGTAACATCCACCCGTTCAGTTTTCAACTTTGTACTAAAAATATATGCGGCCCGCCAATGACTTGCAACCCTTAATTTTGGCCCGCGACCGACAAAAGTTTGCCGACCCCTACTCTACATCTTCAGGGGTCAACATTGTTGTTTATTACATCTTCAGGGGTCAACATTGTTGTTTATCGGCCGCAACAGTATCATAAATACTGAAATAACATAGCCTCTCACTGGCAGCAAAAAGCATCGACACCCCCATGTTGAACAATCAATATCTCATGAATGGTCGAAACTAGAATTTTTATGAAACTTTCTATGAAAAGTATTAGTTTATATCTTCAATTGGACGAATTTTCACAGCTGTAAGTTGAATATTGGCGTCTTGAGAATTTCAGATAAATACTGCGGTTTTTGCTTCTCAAAGCCAAAAAATCGTTTTCTGCCCCTGTTCAAGCAGTAATTTCTCCAATACGGTTCAAAATAATTTGTTTCTGCGAGTTTGCCTCTGCAGAATCAATCATGAACTACAAACTAACCAAATATTAACCGTATGCGCCCATCCAATATTGCACAAGTAATTTTGTAAGAGCGACACTTTTTGAAGCCGCGAAAACGTAACTTTTTATTTTACAAAATCACGTTGAGTTTGAGCTCTACCCAAAGACGTCTCACGCGCTCGGTCGCCATCTCGAGGGTGGATTATTGTAGATAATGATTTTCTGCGCTCAGGGATAATTTCACTAAGTTTATGGGGTAGATGTTACGGATTTTGTGGGTGTTTAAATATTCTGAAATTTTGGAATTTATCCGGCAGCTTGCAGCTATTTAGGCTCATTATCTCCGGTCTGAAAGAGTTTTTCATATTTTTTCATATTTTTCACACTACTGCGTCTGTGTGGTGCATGTTTGTGGGAAATAAGGGGAGGTAACCAATTGTAATGAGGGCAGTGGGAGCATCAACATAAACTTGGGCAGCAATGATAAGTTATGCAGGAGTTTAACGTAATGTAGCATTGAAAAAGATTTTGAGATGAGCAATCATGCTTAAAGTTGTAGACTGACAGCTGTAAGATACAACGCATTTCAGATTGTGTTATTTGTTGAGTTTCAGTATAGATGTATACAAACTCATCATGTTGTTCCAAATTTGATTTTGTAATGTATTTCAGATACCGTACTACAGTAGAAAATGGCTGTATTCCACCAACCCCAATTAACGCAGGCTTCTATTTCTGTTGCCATAAGCTCTATTCCAGCATAAAAATAAAATGTATTGGAGAAATCTTGAAAAAAAGCGTAGATGTAGGTGAAGAAGTCTAAATTATACCAGGTGCAAACAGTGTTTAGATATTTATGATAAAACAGAGCATGAACCTACTAAAAAGAAGCTACGCTCTTGCGGAATCGCAAGATTTAAGCGCAATAAGGGGAACCAGGGGAGAATTGGGAAAAGGTGACGCAATGTCAGACATTGAAATCATGATGCCTGATTGGTGACAAACGAGGTGAGTTTGAAATATATATCTTTACATTCGTTTGTTAATACTATTGGTGTAGTAACTGACATATATATTGTTTCATTGATACGCTTCCATATTCCTAGTTCTCACGCGTTGATTGTACCGATTTCAAGTTTTGATACTTCAATCTCGATCCGGTTTCCTCCGAAGTTAGGTACCATTCGAGTTCCTCCAAAGTTATGCGCGATTCATATGCGCGAGAGGAAAGTAACACCCGAGGTCTGTAGACAGGAGATATGCTAAAGCATTCAGAATGTTTTACGAAGAATTTATTGTACCGAGGATATCTTTCGTTTAACATTTTCAAACATCCTGTGCAAGAGATACATCAAACAGTTTGAGGTTGTTGATACTTCTGGTTATCGTAACTTGAGAAAGCGTTTGAAAAATAAACTTCCACAACTTGCATTCATACGTTCCAAAGAGCAGACGTGCAGTGATCTGGTGTTTGTTGAGGCCATTTCAGTTAGTGACGCCATTGAATGAAAAAGTAAACGCTGCATTTCATAATCTTATAAACATTGTAAATTGTCGACCAAGGTGGAGCATTTCTCACATAGATACGCCGCTGACCCCGTTAAAAAGTTCAGATTACTCTCCTAGTTTCAACCGTTCAATACGTTAACGGGAGCGCAGGAGTCGGCGGGCTCGGAAAAGTTAAACATACTGTCCTTGCGACACGACAAAAACTGTGATGTATTTTTATTCAAGTCCTTTATTATACAACTCTTGTAGATTTTTGACAAGTGTTGATGAAAAGCGGAAAATATTGATATTTTTGAGGTATTTCAAATAAGATGCTTTGCCATCAAGTTAACCAATCATTTTTTCTCATGAAACTTGAAAGCTCGAGCCTGTTTTACCTCCGTAGATTACTCGGAAAACTTTCTGATAAGAAGTGTCGCCGAAATCTCACCAGACATGGATGACATATTAAAAGCAATAAGGTTGTATTAAATCGAAATGACAAATGGAAGAGATATGTTGCCTTCATCTATTCTGTTTTGCAATCCAAACCTCGACTATCCAATTGCAGGTTATCGGCTCAAAAGAATTGTAATCATCGTTGGCAATACAAACAATTTTAAATTTCTGTATAGAATATAGTTTCTTATAGGATATTGATAAATAACCAATTATGAGTAGCCTATTTCGCTTAATTGTTAATCATTTCTTGAAATTGACGCCACCACAACCATCAATAGGTGGTATACGAAATACGGACTAACGCTAATCATTCGATACAATTTCATAGACTTTCAATGCAGTACATTCCTGCTTTCTATGGCCTTGATCTAGAGTAGACGAATATTCAACACACTCCATGACTCTGTGGTATATGGTCAGTAACTGAATCATGGTCATGCATTCTTTTGTTTTCTCTGCGGCAATTAAGGGCTGAATATGCTTTGCACATAAATTATGCCATTCTACGAATACTGTGACTAAACTATAAAAGTTTGAACACTCTGAAATATAGCATAGGTTATTCCTATACCAGCGTCGCTTGTATGAAATCTATATTTGGAAATATCACAAACCCAAATCCACAAACGAACCCAATCGTTTTTGGCGTGATGCTTATTTCCACACATTTTGGATCATTGTTGCAAACTGCTTGTCTGAACAAGTATAGCTAATTTGACGGTTGTTGCAGTACGATTGCGGTGGGTATAAAGGAATTCACTACAATAATCAACTGTTCCTGCTCACTGTTTCACTTTTCGCAGAAATCACGTTGAAACTATATTGGCGCTCTTGCAGAAATCGTTTATATCGCAAACAGTATAGTTTTATTTTGTTATTTCTAAATGTTCTAGAAACTTCCAGAATATCACAGTTCAACATTTGTGCGATAATATTTACCACCACATTGCGTTCTGTTTGTGCGTTTGAAAGTTGCTTAACCAGTACTTTGTTTTTCTTTCTTTTGATGGGTATAATTATTACTCTAAGTTACTAATGATTAATTGGTCTGGTTCCTTTTCTAGTTCACTAGGTCTTATCTGTTTACATCTATTATTCGGTTATTTGATCCATGTGCGCTGCCCAGTTTTATAATTTATGTTGAAGCGGGAATGCGTCGATTAAAGCCTGGTTATAGGAATATGATCTAAGTGTTGTCTGTTTGTATGTTACAGGGTGTCCCAAATATTGAAAGCCATTAATTCGATTTCCAATTTGGTGGGTTTCATTTATTCTGGGACACCCTATAGTTCGGTTTTACTGTTTGTGTAATGTCGTGGATCATATGGGTATTGCTGGTACAATAGTTGATTACATATATATATATATACTTAAACCGAGTTCTGCGACAAGAGAACTACAAAATACTAATTCATTGATTAACATAATTTATTTTAGTTATATATTAACATATATATTATTTTTCTAACATTTATTATATAAAACGTTAATATTGGCTGTGTCTCATACATGGTGACTGAGCGATGGAAAGGATTACGTTTTAAGAAACGGTCTATTATCTTTAAGCTTATCGTGGTGATGTTCTAGTTACAATGATTCTCTATCTGTGATTTAACTCAGGTGAAATCAGATAAAAACGATTATCGTAGATAATCACCATAAGCTCTGATGCAGCCGGTGACACAGAATGAGTAAACATATGGTTTACGTGCATGTGATTTGTAACTATAACTCGGGATCAAACATCAATAATATCAGTTATAGATGCGCATAACCGGTGTAGATCGTTCAGTGTAGCGCCACAGTTTACTATAGTATCTGTGTATATATAAATAAAACCGTGTCC